TCGATTGACTGGGAAACACCACTGCACACTGGCTTACATTGGATTATCGGTATACCCTTTTCTTCCACAGTCGTGTCTATAAATCTACGAAATTAATAGGGATTTATTAAAAAATAAACTATATGAATTTAAAGAAAACTATCATATTCCTGCCTAAACCTATTTCGTCCTTCCAATTTCAAAAACTCAATTTTATAACACCTGACAAAAGCGGAATCTAAAATTCTGTTGGATAAACCCATCTATGGTTTCTTGCATTAAAAGATTCAGTTAGATAGAAAAGCTGCCCAAAAAGAAACCCGATTTTAGGTTTATTTGAATAGAAAAGAATGGAACAACAGCTTTTGGCCTATTAAGCACGAAAGAACGTGGCCAAACTATTTGCATTATTAGAACCTAGAAACCTCTTGCTCAATCAGGAACATATAACCACCAATTCGGCCAGAAAACTGAAAATAAAAGATGGAATGAGGAATGAAATGCATAAAAAACTAATCTAAATGAATAAATAAATTTGGAGGACAAAGGGAAAAACAACTGTATACTCTATTCAATCTTTTGCAAAAAAGAAAATTGAAAAGTAATATAAAAAATGACAAACGTACAGAATTCTTAAGCTAAACGCCTCATAAACTAACAGATTTTATTTACTACGCTTGATTGAGGTGTGGCCTTGAGGCAGCCAATCAAGCGCAGTGCGATTGCGAAAAACGATCATAGGCACAATTTCCACGCGCAAAAATTTGCCCAAAGAGTAGATCACGTGGATCACAATCATACAACTTGACAAAAATACACTTATGTACTATCTTAAACCACTGAAGCGACGTTAATTAAATATATCATGGAAATTTAGGGAGAATTTTCAGTAAATTACAATTTATGTGGAACAAGCGAGCTAACCTTTCCATTCGCAACCTACTTTCTAGGTTTTTGAAAGTTAGGAGGTGTGAAATAAACTTCAAGAGTAGTTGAATATAAGCAATTTATTCTAGAAAACTGCACATAACTGCTCTTATTTTGCAATTGATTCTACCGTAGCGCAATACACAAGTCTTAGATCCAAAACGCATCCTTAATTCATCACATTTCAGAGACAACTTTCTTGAATATAAATCTATGAAAATCCCATCTTCTATAAATGTTTTCAACCTAAAAACTGGAATGCAACCTCACACGAAATGTCATGGTTTAGTATTTTATACTTATTTTGTGGTATTTATGGTATCGATTCAACCGGATATAATTCAAGTAGTGGACGTGGAAAAGCAGTAGCAATTTAATATTCTAAGGTAAAACAGAACACACCATTTAAGTTATGGGTAATTGCTTAGCCCTTTTCCAGTCATCTTCCTAACTTGAAGCAATTTAGAAGACGCGGAAAATTGGAAAGTAAAGCTGCGTAGTTGGCGCTGAAAACATGTGTTTACAAAACACAACTTTACCATCGATTTTCGAATTAACGGCTTGGCCTAATTAAAGTACACAAATTCGGCTTGATGTGAAACGCCGATACCAATAGTGCTTGGATAGGGTGCTTACAAGATCATATCGACCATAAGAGTCTGCGCACCTGTGTGCAACATCATCATACAGTCGAGGGGGGGGGGGGGGGGGGGGTGCGAGTAAAGCAGGGAAAAATTTCACACATGAAAAATGAGTGAAGATTAAGCACCGTGAATGCAATAAATAGGTGAGCGAGAGATAGGGCCGGGGGAGGGAGGGGGGAGGGTGAGATGTATGCGAATTGCTGCAAATTAAGTATCAACACCAATTACTACCAGGTTTAGACACCCACGGAGGAGTGAAGAAACGGTCCTGATTTTGGACTAAACTGTGAGTGGCGCAATAAACACTCAACTTTAATCTCCTAAAATAAACTTCACCTGCCACTAAAAATGTAGACATCATGGAATCTCGCATAAATGTGGCCACATTTTCATCAGGTCTGTGTTAACTTCGTGATTTTGTGTTGAAGATATAAATAAACCTGATTGTGACCTTGTCATTGAGACCAAATTCGATTTCAAAGGCGGTAAATTGGCTGTGTGAAACGACCGCTTCTAATAGGTATTTGCAATTTACCAACACAATTTGGTATGCTAAAGGACAGTAAGGCACTTTCATTAAATAAAAAACATCAGTCCTAGTTTAGGAAGCGAGTATAGAAAACGAATACAGATCAGGAACACGTGATCAAATGATCCCTAAACGGAAAATAAATAGTCACCACGAGGAGAAAATCTATCAAACCTATTCATCGAGGCCTTGGACTGGCCAATTAGTACACCAAAATTGATCTTGTTTACAAGTACTAAGGCCTAAAATCTCTGAAGACATGAAAGAGTTAAGTGAAAACCCGTACTAATAACTGACTAAACGCAACTGAAGAAGGTTTACAAATCAATACAATTAGGGCAACAATATTTAACAAACGGATTTAAATAAGGCTCAATAATATAATATTTGTAAAACTAAAAGCACAAAAATGATTCAGGCGCAACATTATTTACGAATTGGTAACATATTTCAAATAGTGTTGGCGAATTTTAATACAGAAAACTTAATCCAAAGGTGATAAAGGAGTAAAGAAGACCAAAAAAACCAAGTATTGTTATCAGAAGTGCTCGGAATCTACTTCAAGTGGGATTTAATTCAGCATTAGAATATTGCTAACTCATACTATTAGGTTGGCAACTAAGTCATTGCTGATTTCAAATAAGAAGGCAAATTCGGAATTTTTGTTTAAAAATATAACTTTATTCAATTAGATATTGGCCGTTCTTGTCGATGACTTTTTTCCATCGTTCTGGCAGAGTAAAAATTCCCTGTTCGTAAAATGTCTGGTCTTTGCTATTAAAAAACTGAATTAGGTGTGATCCGACATCATCCGCGTTGTTCAAAATTTTACCATTTAAAGAGTTTTGCATGGAACGAAACAAATGGTAATCCGAAGGCGCAAGGTCAGGGCTATATGGTGGGTGTGACAAAACATCCCAACCCAGTTCCAATAATTTTTGCCGAGTAACCAAAGATGTGTGGGGCCTTGCGTTATCATGATGGAAAACAACACCCTTCCGATTTGATAATGCCGGCCGCTTATCTTCAATTGCATCCTTCGGTTTTTCGAGTTGTTCAACATACACATTTGAATTTATCGTTTGGTTCTGCGGCATGAGTTCAAAATACAAAATTCCTTTGTGATCCCACCAGACTGACAGCATAATCTTTTTTTGGTGAATCTCTGCTTTTGATACTGTTTGGTTAATCTTGTTAATCTGGTTAATCTTGCTTCACCCATGATCTCTTGCGAGTAACATTGTTATAAACTATCCACTTTTCGTCGCCAGTAACTATGTTCTTCAGAAACGGATCATTCTCATTGCGTTTCAGTAGCGAATCACAGATGCTAATCCGTTGCGCCAAATGAATTTCCTTTAACTGGTGAGGGATCCATAAATCAAGTTTCTTGACATAACCAAGGGTTTTTCATTTTTTTCAATGCATGTATGCGACACATTGAGCTTCCCTGCAATATCTCGTGTTGTGCTGTGACGATTTGAATCGATAATGGCCTTGATATGGGTTTCATCCACTTCGACTGGGCGGCCAGATCGTTGTGAATTTTTCAGTGAAAAATCACCGGAACGAAACCTTTCAAACCAATTTCGACACTGCCTTTCTTCTAAGGCTTCATCTCCATATACGGCACATAACTTCTTTTGTGCTTGCGATGCGTTCTTGCCTTTTCGGAAGTAATACAATAAAATGTGTCGGAAGTGCACGTCCTGTTCTTTCATTTTTAAATTGGGATAAAAACAAAACTAAAGAACTAAACAAAAAAATTTTTTACTAATTAACCTAGAAGCCCATACAGTAAGAAAAAAATATAGGTTAGATGCTCTGGCCACGTTGACAAAACAAAAGCAAGTAAAGAGTGAACCTTTCAACAAAAACGACAATGACTTAGTTGCCCACCCAATACATTGAATTCGTTTCTACAGAGAAGTACCATTTCACAATGGGACAAAAAGTGACATAAACAAAGTCCCAAGACAAAGAATTTCACTTGAAATATCATCATAAGCAAAGCCAAGCTCCCACTACGAAAGAACTGAGAGTACACACAGGAACAGTAGATCCCAAATCTCGATATAAAGACGTATTTACCCAAAAGCACAAAAAACTGCATATAAGGACTTGATATCTATTTACTTGACAAATTCAGTGGTGCCTTTTGAGGTTTTAAACCAAATCGTTGAGATTATTCTCTTCCTAGTGTAATTAAATAGCATTCTGCCCCCTACAAACAATTTAAGATCAACAGATAAATGTCTACAGATATATAAATATATATAGAAGTTTAAAGATCGTTAACCTCCTAAACGAGTTCACAAAAAAGGTGAAAAATAAGCACTACAGAAGCATATGACTCAAATCGAAGCAAAACACCCAGGATTTAAAACCTCAATAGAATTCAAATTTTGAACTAAAATTCGTTCTCTGTATTCTTTTCGTTTGTCAATTTTATAAAAGACTGTCCCAATTAGATAAATAATTTGATTTATTTTAGATCAGGAGCCACTTCCGAGTCACATTGTAGAAAGCAACCAACTGGAAAGATATTGCGGTCCTTCTTATCTTATTTGAGCTACATTACCTTCTAGCAAGAGGTTCCAAACGCGAAATTTTAAAATAAGACAGGAAAAGAACCAAGAATATAAAATCCCAGTTCGAGTAAATTTATAAACTAATGGGGTAAGATTGCAAGAAATACAGTGAGGCTACAACATTTAGTTTGACTTACTCTCCGACTCGCTATTAACCCTTAAAATTAAGAAGGCACATACTATAGGTGAGAGCTTGAAATTTATTCGGGCCAAAAACTATTACCAGTCGAGAAGTATTTTGAACTCCAAACATCTCCTGCACAAAGTCGTAGAGTACCTCCAGGTTCTTATCTCTCATTCCTGAGTTTAAATAACTAGAGACTAGAGTAATTAGGACTTGCTATAACTACAGCAACGTAGGGAGGTGGCATAATATACAAAAATAATAACAAAGACTTTAAGAATAAAAGCAGAAACAGAAAAGTGGAAAAAAATGTCCTCACCATAGCCAAGCCAAGTGCTTCCCTGTTGTGGTAACTGTCCACCGGAGAGCCAAGAAGCCACAGGAGCTGATTTGCTCAGCAGTGGAGCAATATCATTCTCAGTGTCAGCATTTTCATAGGCCATGGAAGCATCGAATTCAGGATGTTCTTGTATACCCGCTCTTGACCTCGATGATTGTTCCACAGTTGCGGTGCCACTACCACTGGGGCCCTCTCCTGCTGCTTGATGTGGATCATCTGTATCGGAGTCTTGTTCATCATGAGTGCGGTGAATGCGGTATTTGCAGACTGGACAAGAGCGTTGGCGCCGGAGCAACCAACGGTCTACGCACTTACTATGATAGGCTTTAGAGGGTGAAAAAACAAGAGGAAATGAGCGAAAATTATTTCAATTCACTAATCTAAGCAGTTCCTTCCAATTTTCTCCTACTTACTTACTTACTTACCTTACTTTCCATCATGAGGTACATTCCAGCATATAGGTGGTTAGAGTTCAATAGCCATAGTACGATCATTTTTAAAGTATTTAAAAGGTGGGAGTAAAGTTAGGGGATCAGGAAAACCATAGTTCCAAAGCAACCAGATTCAAAATTCTATTTGGCACGATATATCAGATTAGTAAAGGTTGAGAATAGTGAAATAACAGGCACCAAAAATAAAAAAGAACAGGAACGATGCGAGCAGTCACATAGTACAATTAGTTAGGGGTTAGGAGCTGATATTTAATATAATAACAACAACTGTTGTTGAAGAAAATAGCTTTTTAAAACTGGTTTGCCTAAAGAAAAGGGGCCATTAGTCATGAATAAATGAGCAAACTGTATTTTAAGCTCATTCTCTAAACTCTAAATAACTGGATGGAGTCGGTTACTTGAATAACTGGATATACATCCACTGGCGTCGATCTCAGATCGTTGAAACGATATAGATCACGTAATCAGCCCATGTGAAATAGCAGAATTGCTAATAGAACTTAGACGGTCTATGTAAAATACCCAATAAAGTTTTACGAATAGTATAATAATCCGTTGATCTGAAAGGAAATAAACAAAAATGATAAACAGTGGTTAGCGTAAACAAATTTTGAAAGTCCAGGAATGGCTGAGATGAAGTTGAATGACCACATGTACATAATCCAGAGAAAACGGATATGACTAAACTAAAACAAAATTGGTCAAATTTACTAACTCAACGCTTCATAAATTAATAATGACAACTCAAACTGGACTATTTCAGGACGGTTTAAAGTAGGACTTCTATATTAAATCAAGTTCACTGTTACTCCGTCTCAGTTGACAGCTTGCAAGGACTAATCGTTATCAGTTATTATCGCCAACTCAGTGGCCTTCCTCTTTCTGGTGACTTGGGAGATGGGAGCTGCAAACAGGCAGGAAACATTTTTGTTTAAAGGAAGTTAGTGAGTGCCCATCATGGGCTATTTTACTCACTGGAGATGCATAGATTAGTATCAAATACAAGGCAACTGACTTCACAGACGAGCACATTAGAAGCTGATTGGTTAATATATCAAACTAGGTATAAACTAATAAAAAAATATATACATTTGTCCGATGATATTTGTCTCGACACAAACGTCGAAGTAAAGCGAAGTGACGTAAGCTCAATAATTCATACGACATTCAGAAGCTGATTGAACCAATAGCAACAAATTGTCTACAAAAAACGCTTAAATACTTATTGAGAAAAAAAGTACCAACAGTTAAAAAGACAATTTTTTATAAAACTGGATGTTAACCAATGGAACAATAAAAAATGAAAACGAGAATAGGGAATACCAGGAATAAAATGGAAAAAAATTGAAAAGACCGATGACTCCACAGAAAGACAGTTAACTTTTGATCCACTAATAAATAAAAAAGGAGGATAATTCAATAATATAAAAAAATGGATTGATACTCACCATGGTGACAGGGTAGAACTCTGAGTTTGTCACCAATTACATAATCTTCAAGACAGATTGCACAGGTGTCGTAGAGACTTTGATAGTCTAAAATAATTAACACGAGCGTGGATAAGCATGGGGGCCAGACACTGATAAGATCGAAAGGACAAGCCAAAACACACCTTCTGAAAAGCGAATTTCAGGCAACTTATTAAGGATATCGCGACTGAGGCGATTCTTAGATTGTCGAAGACAGTTCCTCAATACTCGAATACCCAAAAATATGATGATGCCAAGGAATGCCAGTGAGAGAGTAATCAATAAGGGAACAAGATAGTACTCAATAGATGTGCCAGGATTTGGGGTCATTTTTGCTAGGAAACTTAATTGCAAATAAAATTTAAATAAAAATATCGTTTTACTGTTTATCATAAAGGTAATGCTGGCGAATACTAAACCCAGAAGTGTTTCCAATCATTATCGCGGGTATAGAAATATTTAAGTCTAAATATTGAAAATAATTTTATTACGGCTTACTTTTGTCCGAACCCATAGGAAAAACATAATCACTTTCAGTATTAATTATGATAGCACCAAGATAATTAGCTTTTTGAATAGATAAAACTTTAACAACAAAATCGCATTTCCCACGATCAGCCAAGGCGAAAAATACACCTTTAAGGGGAGGTGGTGTGACATTATCACAAGCTAGTCTCGGATCTGATTCTGAAATGTTGCCCTAAGCCAAAAATTAAGAAAAAGAATCATTTACCCATGGTAATTCATCAGTAATTTCAGGTCCAAAAGAAGCGTCGGCATCTTCTAATTCTATTGTGGCATTTTTGTTCAACGAACTCTATTTCACGATATGCGTGTATATACAAACAAACCAATATTAGAGAAGCCTGTCCTTGTAAAATAAACCCAAAAATAACTGTTATAAGTTGGCACATTGATTGGACTTTACATCCGATGATAATAGCAGCTGATATGCCAAATAACTAGGGGAAATTGATGAACGCGGTCATTTAAAAATAATTTATAACAAACATTATATAGGAATATTTCGCAATTTTTTATATATTTGATAAAAAATTAATATATCAAACCATAATGTACCTTTTAAATACAATTTTTATCATAATACTCAATGAAATTTAATTCTGATATTACTGTGATTTTTCCTTCAAAATTTTACACAGAAATAATTTGTAATCTTTTTTAGGTGATTCTCAACAAAATCTGTAGGATTTCTTTATAGAGCAAATAGCTTGCATATTGTTCACATTTTTCTTCAATTTAATACCTCATATTATAAGAAAGCTTTCATGTTAAATATCCAACTTTTTTTCTAGCTTGATTGTCTAATTTGCCCTTTGTTAAATTTTACTTAACAAATGACATACTTGGAACAAGTCAATTCTAATTGGAGTTTTTTCCATTGTCATACTACAGTAGCTCATTTCACTGACCCCCATAGGTTTCATTGGCAATCCCCTACTTGAGAGCTATAATTGCGATTGTTCTACCGCCCATCCAATTGCAACGGCCTCCCCCTCACTTAAATCAGCACCTGTATTTAACCAAGCACACAAGTTATGATGCAACCACCCTGTATCTTACAAGTGGTCAATCTATCTGCAACTTCAAACATCAAATACTAAAATAGCTCAACGAAATCCTATTTTAGTTTTCGTAATTGACCGTCGGTTCTCGCGAGACCAGTTTCATGTGATCACTTTAACAATCTTGAAGAAAAAAAAACCCAAAGCACTATTAGCTTTGTGGAGTGCACTTCAAAACACACTGAAGAAGACGGCGAAAGAAAGCCAGTCAAGTTAAATTATCCAGTGCGTATTGTCAATTTCGATGACAACCCTGGCATTTATTAATGCTTTCAAAAGAACTTTAGACAATTAACCATGTTCAGTTTAGAACTTGACCTTAAAACAAAAAACCCACCCTCCATAACAAAGAATTCCAGGAAGATATCTCCCGATAGGTTAAATCAAACGAAGTTAAATACTTACGATATTGAAAGATAAGGCTAGGTCAACACATTTCGAAATTCTCCTATGACACTCCCAAATATCGCATTTGAATATAGTCAATGTGCAGAACAAAGAAGTGAATAAGCGGGAGTAAAAATAAGAGACATTTTCTGAAATGGTGTACATAAAATTATTAAGTAAATCCCAAATCAGTTCGGGGACTTTCCAGTTTAGCTTTTCACTCGAGACATTGCTGACTTTTTCGAACAGTCTGGCCAACTCTTTTTTTGAATCCTTCATAGTCGTCCCTGAACATTTTCTACAAGAATGCAATTTAAAAAATCAAATTACGGCTGCATCAACGTTTGCGGGACTATCAGGATTAGGTTCAGCAAGCATAGAGATAACCGACATTATAATAGATTCGACAGTGTGAACTGGAAGCCAACGTTCTTCAGGTCTTTCATAACCGAACCGATCCTCACCAGGATCATGAAGAATTGATATACATACGTTTCCCGTTGCCGAAATGTTAGGATGCCACATATCAGTTATGAACTGCATTTTAGGAGGACGATTAGGATAGTCTTGAGGAAACTCTAAGAGGGCTTTAAAACATCCACCATCACTACAGAAATAGACATAATAGATATTCCAATACATACTATATTGTGTCTGCTGGTCCCATTATAAGAACTTGCCATCGAAATATATTATCATCGTCAATTAGTCCGGCTGAAAAACCTTCTGTACCATTTTTATTCAAATCTAAAAGACGAAACATAGTTCAAATAACGAACAAATCAGTATTAAAATTTAAAGTTTCGCAAATGATAAAATACCATTTAGCTGTTTACGAAGGAGCAAAGAAGACGCCGAAGACATCTCACACAGACGAAATCCCAAATAAAAGAGTCTTAAGGCGGGCGCTTATGAGTAGGTTATTCATATAAATATGATAAAGATTTGCCTTCATACTATTAATTTAAATCAAATGCGTTTATTATCTTTTGGATATTATATATATATTATTTTTTAGTTTTTTATGCTTAGAATTTCGTACATTATTTCGCTGTAATCGATATCATAGATCGAAATCCATCACAGACTACTAATGGATATCGTGTTTTCCATCTGTTTACAAACTGATATGAGTATCAATATTAAAATGATGCGTAAATACTGGACGAGCGATTGATCAAGTAAATTCTGTGTCTCTGAAAAAGAAATCGACCTTATTATCAAATTGTTTATTTGAAATATTAAATTTGCATATGACCATAAGAATACTATCAGCGTTTCAGCTGTTCCAAATCCGTTATTAATCAGAGAAAATTCAGACATTAAATAGGAATCGATATACGAGTGCCCTAATTAATTTAAATTGAACTTGACGAGCAGACAATACATATTTACTTCACGAATTAATTTTTATGTAGTTTTTTTCACTGAACCTCCCAAATGAAATAATAATAGTAACCGGTTATCAGGAATCGTTTAGAAATACAATGAGTCTCACAAATAGGAAATGCCACTTACTCCTTAATATAACCGCATTGGAAGATCAATAGTTTAATAGCGCATATAAAATTCGCTGCCATTAAATTTATACAATATGATAGACCAAAGATTGCTGAAAGCATTATCCACAAAAAAATTTCTAAGCTTTCCAAATTGCAAATTATGAAACAGTCTTCTAATCACCAGTCAGATCCGCATCGCGCTATGCATTCGCTTCTAGTTATCGACTAGTCATCATATTAGGTTTCATCTTATCGCCAAAATAACAATAATTAGACTCAAACTCTACATATTTAGTCTTCGATAATGCAAAAGTTTAAAATAATGATTTATTAGCGTTTCTTATATCAACAGAATAACGAATACGAAATGAACTATTGGATGAGTTACTAGCATGTACTTCACATTTTGTTCAGGAGTAGCAAGTGAATATCTAAATTCAGTCTGCAATTAACTCAGGATTCAACAATCAGGTCGCTTCTAAAATTGAAAAAGAACGTAGTAAATAGATATGAATATGAAATTGAACAGCGTATAGAAAACTAACTGTTTGACGTAGCTTGGCTTGAGTATTTCAATGAAATTGACATGAGATTCCCTGTCCTGGAGATTGAGGTAGAACATTTGGATATAGTTCGTAATGTCAATAATTTGTTCCTTTTTTGAATCATTTTCCGTGGGAAGTATTCTGTTTATCTGCAACCCCAATAGCCATGAGCGTTCAAATTTGTAACGTTCTTCATTTAACTTCGATGGTGATTCTGATACAACGAGCACTCTCCTTGGTCTAAAAGAGTAGACGAAAATATTTTTGATGTAAAACCATTAACAATAAATATATGATAAAAAGTTTCTTTGAAAGACAGTGAACGGGAATACCTACAGGATTTAGGAAAGATTTTTAAAATAGGAATGTCAGCATAATCCCTACATCAATCCTCAAGCAAACACACATTTTTCATAAACCAATATACTCTTATTTTATCCCAATCAACAGGACATACAACCATATCCTAAAAAGTTTGTGTTTATTTCCAGATATAATCCTTGTCCACTATAAATCCTAAACTCTAAATGTCCTATTTTTAACGGATCATTACAAGATACCGCTTCTTTAAAATATTTCCATAACAAGACCTCAGTCATACACTAGTACCGACAACTTATCTTTATTAAGAAAGTCCTATTTAAATTTACCAAAATGTGAAGCTGTAGCTCTAAGGGTTGCAGAGGAGCCACCAGATAATCCTTTAGATTATAGGTTATTTCTTCTGAAGTCAGACGAATTGCGACTGGATTGTGAATATAGAACTTACACAAACATCACAGTTCAAAATATACCATTCCTAAAAATTTTGCTTTAATTCTTTGAGTGCTAAGTTCCAACCTGAAGTCTTCTACTTTATCTATGAAGTATTAAAAAACAGGAGCCTAAATCATAACTGAAATTTTATAAAAATATTGGTTTCGGGATGGAAATTTTAACTTTGCTAGTTTTCTCTCTAAATAAATATGATTTTGAAATTCGCATAACTCGCCATAAAAACATCATTTTAGTTGCGATACTTCGTTTGAATCAACTTTGTATAGCAATCAAAATTGGCAATTTCTTATATAAGCATCATAATTTACTCACTGCTGATATTTTGCAATTCGAACAGCCTGTATGTCTTTGTCACCTTCTAGTAAAGCTGCAAGTTCTCTCAAACGCGAATCAACAAGTCCGCCAATTCGTTTCAATTCTTCAAAAGTGTTTAGAGACAGTTCGAACTTCAGAAAATGCCTAGAACATATCAAATCATTTACTTTAGAACTTTAATAAAGGAATGACCGTTTCAAAATAAATTTCGCTTGCTAACTTGTATCCTTCGACGATTTCGTAAGGTGCGAAAAGATCTTCCCAACAGGCTTTTCCAAGTGTAATGTCAGTCAGGATTTCACCACCTATTAGTCAAAGTAGCAAAATAATTAACATATTATACTGGTTAATTAGTATTGATTTCAAATCTGTTTAACCACATCAAATCCGTTGAATCAGAAAATATTAGGGGGGAAATAAATATAATAGGATGGCACAACGCCACTACGAAATGCTATACACTTTAATGTATCTTTTTACATAAAACACCAAACATCGAACTTCTGAATGTTGTTCGTGGCTATTAATATGTGCTCACTTCCTCTCTGAAAAATAAAAGGCAGATACGCAAACAAACCGTGCAACCCTCTTTGATTACCCCAGTAGTATAGATAAGGGATATGAGAAGCAACAATATAATCAATCCACGAAAGATTTTAAAACGAAAAGTTCATGGAAAATGAATAATTATTAGCTGAATTTGATCCACTGTTATTAAGCTAGTAAAAATAAAAATAGCTTTTCTTCTGATAATATTTAATGAATAAAAATAATTGACATCCTTTTATGAAGTCAACTTTTCGATATTAATCGCACTTAACCAATGAATGCATTATTATCAAGAATAAAAATTGCCGAAAGTAATTTGAAGTTGAGTAAAGTGAGCTATCTAACTACATACCTCTTTTCAATTCATTGACAACCATTTCGAGTGTGGAAGGCCGAACGAGATAAGATGCATTTTGGTGGGGATATACTGGAGTTATAATAGGCATTGTATCCTGAGGCACTAGCTAGCATTTGAGGAAAAAAGGATTAGTCTCAATAGTAATTATTATTGTTACATTAATTTAATTAGATTACTCAATCTTACTTTTGGCTCCCATGAGTAGAGTTTCAATTCACGAGTCGTATAAAATGGAGCGATGGTAACAGGTGAGGGCCACTGCCAGTTAGCAAAGTAATTAAAGAACATCTTGACCAAAAAGATCAGCGGAACACTTTCCATATCACACTATTAGAATACAAATAGACGAATTATTACATGCGCGAGCTGTTTTTTAGTATTTATAGAATAGACAACTTACGCCTTTTCCAAGATGAATACACAAATACGCACACATAATAACCCAGCCGATATTTGAAGGGAATCCGTACACATTATGAGAAATTTGTCTTCTATGCGCCCATACCTTTATAATTTTTAGTAACTCCAGGAAGACTGGCATATTCGGAACAAGGGTTCTAATTTTCTCGGCAAAGTGACATCCAGATAAACCATGAACGGAGTATTGATCAATATTGAAATAAAATCTTTCTGGATCCATATCGAACGTTATGTAAGAAGGTACTGACGGTAAATTAAATCGACTCATAACCAAATCAACCTAAAATTCATCAAATGTGCTAGCTTTTTTAATTATTTATGATTTGCATGATTTTAAAACAGGGCTCACGGATGTCGTTTCGAATTTCATCTTGATTAGTGGAACAATTGAATCGGATATAACTAACAAATCTGAAACACAACTACATTGGCGCAAGACTACAACAAACGATGTAAAGAAGTCTTCGCGAAACACAAAATTGGGAGTGATAAGTACAGCATCAACATCGCTATCTTTGAAACTAACACCTAGACTAGTGGAACCTTGAATCAAAATGTCGCAAGGCAACATAGCGTCGTTATTTTCCGGCGAGCAATCCTTAAATATTTATTAAAATGAAACCGAATCTACCTTACCCTGTTTTTTGAAATTTGAAGAACCCATTCAGTTGCAATGGCTTTTAATTTTTTTATGTGTATTTGCCTAGAATATACTCTTGAAAAGCCACTTACTTCTGCTTATAAGAATCTTCTGATTCAAATAAATTTAAGCCTTCCACATATTGGTCTATGCTGCACATCATCCCAAAAAAATTGAACACAACTCGAAAAAGTATATCAAAATTGAACGTTAAAATTTCTTTGACCCTGAAAGCGATCACTACTCAAATAAATTAAAACAATCTTAATAAGGATAAATTACGCCTGTTTGTTCGTAGTTAATCAGATAGCAATTATTTTTGCTATTTTGTTTATTGATCTATAAACATGTTACTCTAGAATTTATGACAATTGGGACGAATTTGAATGTAATAAAATTATTTTATCTTAACTATTGAAAATTAACGTAAGTTAGTTGAACCATCTCAATTTTACTTCTATTTTAAATATCTTTGAATTTTCAAAGTTTAGTTCTGTAAAGTACGTATAACAAAATTATTTAGTCAACTATCATTACTTTGCGACGCAATCATATCTCTGGTTATGAGAAAATCTGTAGGGCCAAGAATCGCTTTCAAACACAAAACTGTGTATCATTTTAAAATGGAAGCAGTACGACATTTTTATTTGATGATATTTCTCTGAAAGAACTTATTTTATAACATGAGGAGATGCGAATATCTTTCTTAATGCGGTTCGAGTAGATTGCCTTTATTGTGTTATTCATATTTCAATTTCACTTTCTGGTCATGGTGTTATTGAATTGACTTTACTTCCTCTTTCAAATTACATTCACATTGTCCATACACATCTTATTTCTAAACTTCTAAAATAATTTTCAAAGTTTACTGCAATTCAGCTAGCTATGAATAAAATATTTAACGCATATCGGTAGAGATAAAAATAAGTGAATGAAATTGTTTTCCACGTTAATATCAGGTCGTTTTGAAACTAATTAACGTAATTGCATTAGTTTAGCCTTTTGATTAATGGCAGCTTGATTATCTAAATCCTCTATGTGTATATGATATTTGACCAGAGGTACTTATTGACAGATTATGCTACAGTAACGCTAATTTTAGTATGGCAAAGTTTGGGAACACCAAATATAGGCAGCAAGATTATACAAGGGAGGATACAACATACTAAGCGTAGAAATTATTTTACTAGGAATAATAAAGTGGGATATAGATAGTTTTAAATCCATTAGGTAGGTGGATGCCGAAGACAAGAACAGGCTGCTGATAAAAGATCTGGCCGTAAGAATTCGTTTATAATAGCTAAAAAAGATCTAGGTCCGCAGGTGATTGCCAGTTAGTAGATGTGGGTTCCAGAGTAATGTTAATAACAGCATTCATACTCTTAGGGTTAATGAGGAAAATAGGAGTAAATAATGTACTGAGAAAATTCAGAAGAGTATATGAATACGAGTGGAAATGGTCATGGAAATGGGGTGTTGACATGGTAGTAAGGGACACAGTTAAGTAGCAACCTACAGAGATGACATTCAACACTCAGAAAAAGAATGTAAATGCATTCAATTGATACGAAAATGAAATGAGAGCAAGCATCACCATATCACTTCCATGTTACCTGTATGACTGATCTCGCCAATGATGAAGTCAATAGTCACTCAAAGATTGGTTCGCCGTCTGATAAACATTGTTCTGCCATGTCAACTAATAGAACTCAATGAGTCGTCAAACTTTCTCCTGCCAATTGTTACTTGAACCAACTCTCTAGCAAAGGTATAAAAAATTATGCATTACATCAAGCTAATATTCTATTAAATATAACCATTTGATCTAGCAATTTCTGGCTAAATCCCACTCTTTCCATGGGGGGGGGGGGGGTGGAAAGGAGGGTGTGTTTATTACTAGCTCATCTCATAACGGACCACTTGATTAAACATATTCTATCAATGCCATTATACTATTATTCCTCCCATTTTTGCCTCATTTCACACTATTGCAACTACCACAACTCCTCATGTTAACTGTGCACTGACATGAATGATTTAATTTGAAAGGTGATTTTCTGCTGGATTTCTCTCAGGTAATTAATTAATGTCCTGGCATTAATTTTGTTTTTGATAATATAAGGGGAATTTAAGAAGATTTGTTCACCTTAGACATTTGTTTCTTCCGCTCCTCGCCGTCGAACATTTTTTGCCAATCTGTGTTAATTATCGTATTAAGATTAAGCACTTTTAACGAATAGCACTTTTATGAAAGATATCCGAAAAAGTAGGGATTACCCTACTACTAGCTAATAAAAGGTTCAGATACGATAATTTTTATGAAGGCAGGAAGAAGTTATGTCCCAGCATATTTCAATGAACAATTCTATACTATTGGAGATGTACTTATTTCAAATGGCAGGCGTTTCGATAGCTATCATTAGCCATTTAGCTGACTTCGGGCCTCATAGAGGGAAGGTTCATCAAAGTAGAAGAAAGTCGAGGGGTGGGGAACAGAAGAGCGATTCACAGATGTAAAAGAGGCAGACAAACACAAAGATAGAGAAAAAGGTAAGATGAGTACTGTGGTAGGGGTCGAATATGACAAGCAGTCGGGCCATGGTAGTTTGAAGTCGGAAGTCAGCTGCCGGTTAATAGACTTTTTTGCCGTATGAATATACGTTGCCCAGGGAGCACCACGTGGTGGTAAGTCTATCGCCCACCCCCTGTTGGAGATGTAGATTGTCATTTCCCCCGCTCAAACACCATCTATGCTGTTTCTTGGCCCAGCGTCTTCCAATTTAACCCCACCTTTTTACGCATACTAGCCCATTATATTTAGATCACTATCCCACCAAAAGATTACCAGATAAAAAAGAGTTTGGCCAAACTGCAATCCCATTCATTTATAGAAAATGGTGAATACAACCTTGTTTTAATAAACAACCAGCAACACCAAATGCCGATCACATGGGGCTAAATCTGCTAAATAAATTCCACAATAACACGGTTTCAATTTTGTCGGTACCGCAGACGTAACTAGCACCTCATTTTACTCCATCTTGGGGACACAGAAACCGGTAGTAAAGAGGTTAAGGCGAGAGTTTTACCTAACCCCCNACCCTCCTGACATTCACCTGGCACAAGGATGCACTAATTAACCCCACTACTATCAGCCAAGCCAACGTAGAGAGAAGATCGAGAAATCGGAAAATACATCACACATTGTTAGTAGCACTACCATAATGGAAATAAATTGCTGACCAGAATAAAAAAGGTGGAGTGTGGTACATCATCATCATCATTACACAGAAGAAGGCAAAACGTGCGGGCAATTGAAGAGTGGAGCAGAAGACAACAGAAAAACACACCGACTTAAGGAACCAAGAGAGGAACATGGACAGAGAGTTAGATATTAAAGAAGAAGTAATAATAAACATTAAGGGCAGGTACTGTTATTGGTGAGAATTATTTTACAATGGTGACACGATGATAGTCCCAAAGAAGACAGCCCAAGCAAGAATGACAAGGGAGGCCTCCATAAGGAATGCACGCCCATTCTGGAAGCATCGAGAGAGCATCTTCATGGTTTCGTCAAGCAACAAGACAGGGAATGATATTTTCAGCACTACCGCCCATTCAATAAGGTTCAATGGTTGGATTTGGAATACATTCTATAAGAGGAAAGCAAAAATTTCAAATAAAAGACAAAATTATATAGACTGATTATCAGTTTTTTGTTTAAAAAAATCCGGTAAAACTATAGAAAACAGTTGCTTAATGGCAAAGACCGCTCGTTATCAGTGATTATGAGGGAATTGCTAGCAAACATAGATATGGTCTCAGAAGTAAGATACCTGGATTTCCTCATGACTTCATATAAAATTTCTAAAACGAAGGATTCAGATTGTGCATTGGATATCACTAAATATAATGCCATAATTATACTCATCAAACACAATCACTCTTCCCATTTGCAACATTGGATGAACTAAGGCTCTGGAATGGAATTGCAGGCACTCTAGGCCTTTGGCTAGCAGTTTAATACGGTGAAAATGCCAATTAGCAGTGGGAAACTACGCAATTTAACGCGACACTGCTAGTAATGTTTGCATAACAAAAAGCTTACCGCAAAGAATGGTATGTTCAAGATCGCAAGATGTTGAACCATACTAAGAGCGACAGCAGCAAGGAGCCACCTATTCTTCCACGGTGGCATGACAATCAGAGATTGATTCTCCGAGAGACTGTTCAAGGCATTGAGCATCTCAATAACAACCAAAACTGAGAGTGCCAGAGTCATGGGCTTGGAACTTGAGAAAATAGCACAATCAACATCCTCAAATGCAGCTTTATCCACAGTGCACTTGAGATGATGGGTCTAAAAGGATGAAAATATTTAAAATGTCGTTTTTTGGAATTAGTAATTGACGTCTCTAGAAACGCTAAACAGCGTTTAATGACAAGTGAATTGAAATATTAATGACGATTTATTTAATCAAATAAAGCTGATCTTAGCCAGTCACAGAAAATCAAACTTTTACTTCCTAATGTGCCAATCACGTAATAAAGTCCAAATATTCGGAACGAGGGGTTGACTGGTGCCTGATCATCAAAATTTTAATCTAACGGGAGGGGGGGGGGGAATTCGTTTGTGAAACCGTAATTGTTTGGAAATCTCTTCACGATGAAAAAATGGACAATTTCCGCTTCTATCATTAGAAATGAAAGAAAACGACATTTAAACTTTAAAGTTGTACTTACATAAAGAGTCAGCCGTTAAAAGACCCCTTAAAAGAAATCTTGACATGCTTAGTAGAGTCTTAACTAATGCGTATCCCGGGAAATGGATGCAGAGAAAGAACTAGAACCTCAGTTACTTGAAATAAAGCATGTCAAGACACAACTTGTAACAGAAAAGTAGCACGTTGGCATCTCTATGATAAAGAGGTGGCATTCAATCATCCATCTACTGATTAAATTATATTATTAAATTGGTGTGCGTAATAGACTTACCTCCACGTGGTACACCCTGGGCAACATATACTCATACGGCAAAAAAGTCTATTAACTGGCAGTTGACTTCTGACTGCAAACTGCCATGACCCCACTGTGTGTCATATTCGACTACTTCCACAGTGCTCACCTCACCTTTCATCTACCTTTGTGTCTGTCTCTTTTACATCTTTAAAACACTCTTCTGCCCCCCCCCCCCCCTCCTCTCGACATTTTTTACTTTGATGTTCCTCCTCCCCTCTGTGAAGCTTGAAGTCAACAAAAGGGCTAATGATAACTATCATAACGCCTGCCATTTGATATAAATAAATAAATGAGATTATTGAATTTATTGAGCTGCACCAAAAAGTATTGGAAAAAAGTTATTTACCCAGAGTATTGACACAGTGGTGATAGTTTAATTTTGTCCCACCATGCCCCCCCCCCTCCCCCAATTTTTATACTGCAATTCACTTAACGTCAAAATATTCAGACTGAATCCACTATTGTAGAAATAACCATTATCAACTACAAAGTGTTATTCAAAATTGTTACGCTGCTATATCACACACGCAACAACAGCAGCACGAATTCACATTTTTTGCGGACGCTCCACTATTTATACTTGTCAACAAAAATGAAAAATAAAAATAGGTAAGCAGGTGTGTTATGTCGAAAACAACAAATGGAGGATGTAATGGAAATCATGGCGAACACGGAGGCACCAAATAATGATTTATGGCGATATTTGTTGAAAATACCAATGTTTTCCCTTTGACCACTCACTTGATCTCGAGTGCTTGATATGCTATTGATTGTAAATTGAACTTATTGTCATCCTTCTAAACACCAACTCTGTAATCTTGACCGACGCCAATATAATATCGTATGTGCACAAGCTTATGTCAGCAGTAAATCTGATTTTGACGTCAATATTCAATCCCTTCCTCACTGTTCGTAATTCCTAAGCTCGCTTTTTAATAAATTGTTTGGTAGAGAAAAAACTAAAGAATTTAACTAATGACTCAATTGATCTACACGGGTGATGATAAATACAGAGGGAATTGACAGGATACCTGATGGGAAATAAAAAAATCAGAATACTACTTACAAGTTGGTAGTAGGATACCTTCGGACCATCCGGATTGACCAAGAACCACCAAGCAGATGCACCTACAGTCGCAGCTCCAACATACGCACCAACAACGAGATATCTCAAGAAGAGCCATCCACTAATAAGAGGTTCCTTTGAATTTCTTGGTGGTTTCTCCATAATATCAACGTCGGGAGGATTGAAGCCAAGTGCGGTGGCGGGCAGACCATCAGTGACCAAATTCACCCATAGAAGTTGAACTGGAATTAATGCTTCGGGCAAGCCCAGGGCAGCAGTCAGGAAGATACACACAACTGAAAAAGAAAAGATCGATTAACACGATTAGCATATATGTCCTTTAATTACAAATATTGTGGCCTATAAAAAGTGAGACCAAGATAAAAGAGATCTGTGTCCTCTATCATACAGAAAGTGGCATTGAGCGCTTGAGCGGGGTCACGTGATGCCAAGCTAGCTGTTTACTGCTCAGTGTTGCATTGGCACTACCAACAACATTTGTAAATACAGTCTTGTAAAATGCCATTTTCAATCAACCAAAGAGTGTTCATTGTCAAAAGTTATTTGGGAGGCAAATCGGTTGTAACGTCAAATAGAAGATTTACCATAGAAGACCTACAGATAGTTGATGCCCCTAAAAGGGCCGACCAGAAAATAATTTTTAAATTTAGAACTACAAAGATAGTCGCGAATGCGAAAGGTAACCGTGTGGATACAGCTTGTTCATTAGCAAAAGTAAGTGCTAACGAGACTCCGCTAAGAAATTCAAGGAAATCAACAGGACGTCTACCATTTCAACCAAACATTAAACGAATATCACCCTAGAGCATGTTGAAATAGTTACCTATGTGAGGGTACAAAATAAGAGAAGATGCAAACATTGTAACCTAAGAATGCATAACTACAGCAACGAGGAAATTTGGCCTATGGGATTCGGCAAGCCAATTAATTAGAGACATAAATGTACAGAATGGTGCTTCAAAATATTTTTTTTTGAAGAGACTCCTGTCAGCATAAAGGATGGTAGGATTTATTTATAACGTCTTAACCATTCCACCCTTCCCCTTCCTCTTCGTCACAATTGGCGAGGGAATTTGCAAGTATTGAGCGATAAGTCAAACTTAAGACAGTCCTGGCGACTTGAACTATTTGACCTAGTTAACCATGGTACTTAATGGCGCAGAACTGGGACTTTTCATGACAACCCAAACACAATGTCTTCCTTTCTGAAGCTTGGCTAGAGGATTACCCAAAGAATTCCACTATCAGCTAGATGACTAAATGAAAATGAGTAGTTAAATTTTGAATCGCCCGCCGGGTCATAGCAATAAAAATGTGTATGGGTGGCAATGTCGGCAGTAAGGTGTACGACCTGATTTTAAGCTGAAGAGAGCACTTAAAACGCCTCGAAATCTCGAGACGCACATGCACGCACGCACGCACACGAGAGAGGGAATGGATATCACATAGGTACTGTTGAATTAGGTAAGTATGTATAAAACAACCTAAAATGTGTCAAATAGAAAGTTGTAGGAAACTATAAATTGAAACAATGACAACAAGCAATCACCGTAACAAACAGGTAAATAAGTTCGGAACACGTTGGATATGAAACCGTAAGACAATAAACAACATCCATTGAGTAAAACGTTGACATTCCTCATTAAAAATTCTGCAGTTCCCTAATTTAAATCATTTCCTTGATAGAGAATTTAACAATCGCTTTGGACAATAATAAAATTGGAATAAAAAAAGAGCAAGGCAAGGATCTGTGAAGACAAGCTATTGTAAGCTTTATTCGATCCTTGATATGAAATTAATTTGTTCAAAGTTATTCAGTGTTTCCAATATTGGACTGAGTGATGAAGTACCTAAGTATATATTTCAGACACCTATTTCCGACACGTAAAATTAAACATTCACCTGGAGTTTCATAGGACATTGAGGATTTCTTGGTTATGCTTTCAGCGAACTTACAATGGACTTTTCTGCACTATTCCAACAAATTTACACTCCAACAGGGTGGCTGCCGATAAACCGTGCATGTTTTTTTGGAAATTCAAACGTTCAAAGGGGGTTTATAGCAGATTAGACCCTCGTACCGAATTACTATCCACTTTAACAACTCCATAAATATTGCTTTAGATAAAAAAAAGACACGAAAACATTCAAGATTCTAACCAAGTGCAAAGGTCAAAAAAATAAACCCCCTTATTAAAAACAACATCCATTTTGCAGCGGTAGAGAGCTTTACCAAAAATAAAATTTTAGTAGAAATAACAAACTTTAACTACTACCTAATTAGCACTTTCGGCATTTTTTGCACCCAGATTACTACACCCCGATAACCTACCTTCAATTAAAAGTTCTTTTTCAAACTCCTGGCAAGTTGTGATGGAAAATTCAACTCCCCGGAGGGAAGGGGGAGAAAACAAAATGTCAAAAGTAGGTGGAGGTGTGTGCGTGCGTGCGTGCGTGTGTGTATGGGCCACAGGAAGAGATTCTAACCTAATTTATAGCCTACCCTTCTCCAGGTCACATTTGAAAGGTTAAAATAAATTTAATGAGACATTTTTTTCCTACCATAGCAATGTTCCAGCCGTATATTAATGTGAAATAATGTTAATAGGATGGCTAAAGTTTAGAATCTCACTTAACATAGGTAAAATGATAGAACATGAGCCTGTCTATTTGACAGGCTCCATTTTTCATACTCAGGCTTAACTTCATTTAGCTTAAGAGTAATTATTGAATACATTCAAGAAAAGAAAGTAGACCAACCTTCACCAATATTGGACGAGATGAGGTAACGAATGAATTGTTTCATGTTATTGTAGATGGCACGGCCCTCTTCAACGGCAGCAACAATGGTAGAGAAGTTATCATCGGCGAGAATCATTTCTGAGGCAGACTTTGCAACAGCTGTTCCGCTTCCCATGGCGATACCAATTTCGGCTTTTCTCAGGGCAGGCGCGTCGTTAACACCATCACCAGTCTAAAAGTGAAAGGAAAGCAGAAATGAAAGAAAATAGCCAGTCACTTGAGTTACTTGGAAGTATAGAATTAGGCTTAATTAGATTTAGATTTACGTGCTCACTCATCGTCACCCTATTACAACACATTAACTCCAGTTCCGCATTTCATCAATTGCCTCCAAACAGTTGACTCAACTATGGACAATGTACTGAGTCATTGGTACTTATGTTCTCCAGCGTCCTGTTTCTCAGCCTCACAATGCCAACCACTACTAGTCGAAGTAAAGTTAAATCATCCTAAGCCTTATCTCCAAGATCATTTTTTGCAGACGCAATGCAATGGCTTGGAAGTTTAATTCTGCTGCTAAGACATGTAGCCCACACTAGATGCCAAACAAACACAATTAAGTTTGACTAGAGGTTAGGATAGAGAGGTAGTTAACTCGAGACATTTTGTTGATCAAGGGTGCTACATAGGAATACAGGCTGTCTGCACATTGACGATAATTGAGGATCGAAGACCAAAAGGCCGGTAAAGGTTTTTGGTCAAATGATTGTAATGATGACAGGGGACCCGAAGCTTCTTTCAAGATACGCATCGTGATATCAACATCCAGTGCTGCATATCCATTGATGTTGGTGACCAAAACAAATGACCAAGTCTGGCCAGCTAAAGACGTGATACAATGAATGGCTTAAGGGTTCATTCAACCAGAAGGTAATAGATTTCTCAGTACCTGAAACTACATTCTGGCAATTGTAAAATCTCATGATAAGAGTGCTGAAAAAAGTGCTTCTGGGAGGCTATAAAATATTGCAATAGAATCAGAAAACTATAGAAAAACTGGTATAAGCTAAATGTAGCGTACAAATACTATAAATCTTCTCAGTTTTTCTAACTTGAAAAGAAAGGAGCATATGGTACATCATTCATTTGATTTCATGCCTAATTCCAGGCAAAATTATATCAATGACAACTGATTGTCAAATATAATTAATTAAATCCGATGAGTTGCGTAGAAAAAGTTCAGGTTAAACTAAACCAAATCCAAATTAATAGAGTTGGATCACGAATAAATAGACCATTTGTGCAGAACATCTCAGACTGAAAGAGCGATTATAAATTGCGGACTTACCATGGCCGAGATTTCGTTATCAGCTTGCAAGAAGGACACAATCTTGCTCTTATGAGCAGGTTCAACCCGAGCAAAGAGTTTCGCCTTCCGAACAGCCTTAGCCATCTCATTGGGAGTGAGTTCGTCAAATTCTCGTCCAGTGAATGACTTGCCCTCCGTATTCTCATTCTCCTCAAATAAGCCAATTCTACGACAGATAGACTCAGCGGTAGCCTTATTGTCTCCGGTAATTACGATAACCCTAATTCCAGCCCGCTTGCAGAGACGAATGCTTTCAGCAACCTCAGGTCTTGGCGGATCGAGCATACCAACGACACCAACTAGGGTCATATTAGTCTCGTAGTCCTTGAATCCATTGCAATCCTCGAGTTTAAATTCAGATGCCGCTGGAGGTTTGTCAACAGTGGCGAGAGCTAGGCATCGCATAGCCTCACGACCTGTGGCGTAGGTGGCAACTTTAGAGAGAATCTCATTCTTCATTGGAGCAGTGAGTGGAATGGTACAATTTGGGGTACGCATTTGAGTGCAACGATCGAGGATGGACTCAGGAGCACCCTATAAGACAAGAGGCAAAATTATGAAGGTTGTGGTTAATCCATCGATATGTAAGCAAAAAGTAAAAAAAGTTTCCAGCTGGCTGGTCACAATTTAGACAAAAATGTACAAATGGTAAGAATTGTCTGACCTATGAATATAACTATCAATTTTTTTTTCTGCACTAGCCGTTATGCAATGTGAGTAGAAGTTGATGGTAATGGGCACACAGAGACAGATTTCATATTTGGTTTAGCAAAATGAGTCAGGCGTGTAAACAATTCACTTAATGCATAATACGCCAATGCCCGAAATAAGATGGTATTTACGTTAAGGACTCCTGAAAAGTCAAGAGATTTCGCGCGATCAATTTAGCCAAACTAACAAATGGATAATAGAGGGATTGGTAGAGGTGTTAATAGGACTAGAATGACTCTGAAATTACTCGTTCATGCAGATAAAACACAGATGTCAAAATAAAATCACTTCGAGGAAAATTGATTGAGAGTATAAAGGGATTGTAATTAAAAAAATGCATGCCGCTAAGCATTTATTTAAGCAATCAGAGCACATTATTGTTTAAATCTGTATAGATAGCAAAAAAAGAACATTATTAAATGGCCTAGAAACTTTATGCACACCAGTAAAACGCGATGGAAGCATCCATACTCCACTTGGATTCATTGATCGTGAATGAACTTGTTTATCGTACTAAGGCATAATAAAAGCCCCAGTTAGTTTGAAAGGTCAACAAGACAACACAGCAAAAGCATAGATTCAAGAGCCTATTTCACACCTAAGATACTCCAGGGCTCCCAGCCAAGGTACCTCGGAGAAGAAATCTCATTCATGTCTCGCTTAGTAGCAATCAAATTTATTGAATTATAGCACAGTTTACCCTTAAAAAAGAACCAAATACCGGTTTTTAAAGACCACTTCTTACTAAACATACGAGGCCATAAGAGGTGAGATTTATTTCTACTATGCCACTTAACGTTTCAATGTCAATTTCATCTAGTATACGGTAGTTAAAAGAGATAGAAATATTTGAATCCTGAGTGTACCCCTAAATACCTAATAAACCTGACTGGAAGGCATTTACACAGATTGCCTTGTAATATTAGAACAAGGTTACACTATGTACTGTTTAATTAGCAAAAAAATGAAATACAATATAGAGATGGAGAGTGAAATACACAGATGCGCATGTTTGCTTAAAACTGAGCTCCACTGTTTGTGTGTGTGCGTGTGGGTGTGCATAGGTAGCAAGCATGAGTCACATTCACTGCGCTTGCTTTAGAATTACAATAAAAACCAAGTAGTACATAAAGAGACTAACCGCCACGTATTCGGAAACCGATTATTTAAGAGTGGATAAGGCGGCTTTCGAGCCGCCTTTTTCTTTCAATGGTTGTGAAGGCAAGACGATCTTAAATTTTTTCGATATCTCATTGGTGAAGCTCTGCAAACTGCTGTTATTTACACGGTCAAGGAACAAAGATAAAACGCATATAGCGCAGAAAGCATAGTGAGAGAAGCTTAAATGCGTTGTAGCTCAAAATGAAATATTCCAACTATATTATGAAAAAATATACTTAAAATTGCAAAGGAGACCATCCTATTTTCATCGGAAGTCGATTTCTTTGTTCAGAGGTAAGTTGACCTCTAGTTGATTCAGGATGATCAAGGGTTCTGCTCCGCTGCCCAATAGCCTGAATCCTATCATGTACAACAATGTCTTAGAAGCCAAATTTCTAACTTTAAAGTTGAATTCCAAAAAATATTTTGGAATAGAGGGATTAACGAAAGGGAACTTTCTACAGAATTCTGCAGTTGTTTAAATGTTGCAAATTTTTGGGGCAGAATGAAGTTGTAAACTAGTTGTTCGAGTGTAAAGATTGCCCGTACTCAAATGAATGAAAATATTTTTAAAAATTATCAAGAAAAGGTAAGGAAAGTGGATTTAAGAAAGTAGGGAATATACAAACCGATCATCAAATAGAAGCTGGCGCAAAATATGCATTCTATAAATATTCTGCTTTAATTAAAAAGTCCATAAACTGTCATTTCTACCTCGTTTAATACTTTTAAACTCAACAGGGAATTTCCTTTCGTAACACAAAATCTGAAAATCAGCTTTGCCAAAGTTAGACCACCCTGGCTTTGAAATTCGGGCTTTGTCGCCACAGTGACTTCAAGAGAATCCACCTTAAAAGCGCGAAAATTAACTTAAACCTGTATAAAAAATAGCCAAGTCCACAACAAAAGAGTAAATCCGCATTTTTCTTGGGTCGATAGGTAGTATCATAAAGTCTCCATGGTAAGATAATCGAATTATACAATCTCATTCACCAGCCAAATTCAACATCAAAAGTTGGTCATTCCGCCCATAGGACGAGCAACCATTCAAATTAGATCCATGAACACTGACATAGCAGACAATCAGGTTAATAACTGCAACACCAGCCCAATAAAATTTTAAGAATTTTATATTGAAATGTTCACTTTCAGCCAGTGTATTTAATCATTTGTTAGCAAAAATTAGATAATCAGAGAATGCGCTCGATGTCTCATGACGTAGGAAATAAACGAGATAGTCATTACAGGGTTAATTAACAACGGCTATAAATCAGGAGCACTTCTTTAATAATTAATAATGAGATTAAAGTCTGCACTTAATAACAAATAATAGCATAAATGAAACAGTACCTAGTGTACGCAGTAGGAAAATAAAAAATGGTGATTGACAAAGGCAATATTTAAGACGGTCCAACATCGCTTTATATGAGGGGGTATAAGCGAGGATACTTACCTTAACATACAACTTTCCCGAACCTTGAGTATCATCACGTTTTGTCACATAAACTGACATAGATTTACGATCTCGGGAGAATTCCATGGTGAATTCTTTCTTGAATGATTTCTAAAATAAGCAGATACATTGAAATAAACAATCCATTTGAATGTTTTTATAGATTATAACTACGGTAAACTTACGGTAATTTCACGGTTACAAACCATTGCAAGTTCTCTCTTGGTCAATCTGGACTTATCAATACCAGTAACATTCATTTTCTCAACCAAACATGTCAGTGCTGTTTCTGTAGCCTCACCGACCTTTTCAAAAACATGCTTTGTGGTGTTATATTCAAGAGCTGAGTCGTTACACAGCACACAAATATCGGCTAACTCAACCAAACAGGGGTTTGAAGCACAGTTGAACTTCTTCCCATCCTTCAGCCTAGAAGGAAAAATGAGATGATATTGGCAAGTGACAAAATGACAAGTAAAGTAACATTGATAAACACATACACTTCACCCTCTGGCGCATACTTGGAGCCACTAATCTCGTATTCATCGAACTGGAAGCCTAATTTAGGATCTCCTGAACCAACCTGAGTCCCAAGGAAAGTGAACATTCGACAGACAGTCATTTGGTTCGTCGTGAGAGTGCCAGTCTTATCTGAGCAGATGACACTCGTGCAACCTAGAGTTTCAACCGAAGGTAGGGAACGAACAATAGCATTCTTGCGAGCCATACGACGCGTGCCCAGAGCAAGACAAGTTGTAATAACAGCTGGTAAACCTTCAGGAATTGCAGCGACAGCAAGGGCTACTGCAATCTTAAAGTAGTATATCGCACCTCTAATCCAAGAGCCACCATGAGCCGGATCATTGAAATGACCGATATTGATTAACCACACAGCGATACAAATAAGGGTAATGACCTTTGACAACTGTTCTCCGAACTCATCTAGCTTTTGGGTAAGTGGAGTCTTTTCATGCTCGGTCTCCATGATTTGATTGCGGATTTTACCAATCTCTGTGTTTAGACCAGTTGCAAAAACAATACCAAGGCATCTTCCTGAAGCTAAATTGGTTCCACTGAATAGGATGTTCTTTTTATCCTGATTAACAGCTTTAGTGTCATTGATGGGTTCTGTAAATTTTACAACTGACACAGATTCACCAGTCAAAACAGACTGGTCAGCGCGTAGATTAGTACTGTATATTTTGATAATTCGAATATCAGCAGGAACTTTATCACCAACTGCAAAAAATAAAAATCAAATATGAATCAAATTATATGAAAATCAAGATTAAAAAAGGGTTTACTAACTTGATACTTCAACTATATCTCCGGGCACAAGATTTTTGGCTTTGATTCGCTGAATTCCCTCATGATTTTGACGGATAACTTTCGCGTCATCTGATTCATATTCTTTTAAAGCTTCAATAGCTGATTCAGCGTTTCTTTCCTGCCAAACTCCGACAATCGCGTTCAACACAAGAATCAAAAGGATCACAAAGGGCTCTACAAAAGCTGTCGTTGAATCCTCGCTATCTTCAAATAAGGCCAAAACAAATGAAATAACGGCTGCGGCCAGAAGAATTTTGACTAGTAAATCATCAAACTGTTCTAAAACGAGTCTCCACAAAGGTTTACCCTCGTCATGTGGCAATTCTTAAGAAAAAATATTTATTTAGAATTAAAAAGCACACCATTTAATCCATATTTCTTTGATCTTTCCTCAATTTGACTATCGCTTAATCCTACGTCCGGTGACACATCAAGCACTTTGAGTACCTCATCAACTGGCTTAGTGTGAATCAATTCCATTTCGCCGAAAAAGTATTAAGCGGCGACCACAAACTACGTTCGAAGATAGTGCTCGTGTTAGCACCTAATTGGACAAAATTTACAGCCAATCAATCAAAAGTTCTTTATTAAAAGGGATTAATTAAAATAAATAGAAATATATCAATTTTGACAAATGAATACTCATTTAAACATTATATATTTTATGATGCATTTTCATATTTAATCTTAATCTTCCATTCATACTAGCGATGAATGTTAATTGTCAATTAGCACCTTCCAGTGACATAATTTACAAGAGTCTGGAAAACGCAGTTATTCCTCCACCGTCTCAAGCCCATTTAATAAATAAAATTGCCTTGACAAAAACATGTAAATTTCCGAAATTAAAGACAGATTTAGAAATTTTGTCTTGAAATGACTTATATTTAATGCTGCTCTTCACAGTTTAACACATTCGGATCTTTATCGTAGATCTTTCTGGGATGTCGCTTTATGCTACTGATAAATATTGGGTACTACTAATTTGTCTTTTCGCTAAATATTTCTATGTTTGATCCACTGCTTTAATCAGTGTCCCTAATTCTATTTTAGCAAATGAAATGAATTGAAATGTTGCCTACGCACTACAGCGATGCCTCCTATTTCTATATCGTTGTGAATGGAGCGAACGTTTGTTTACCCTTTGTGTCGGGGCGAGTAAATAAATAAAAAATGGATAACATAAATTTATTTTCCAAATGCGAATTTTGGCCGTTATATTAGTAAACACCATGAAGTAAGTACTGATATTAATTGCAATTTGATTAAAAAATATTTTACATCTGTTCGCTTTGGGCTTTCATCAGAGATACGATTAATTCAATAGAGCAAATCATCACGATTGTTGAAGGAAAATGATATGAATTGTTCAAAACTTTCCAAGATTTCGTAATTTTTGGACATTTGACCCTCATATATTTTTGCATCGTAAAATGTATTTACCGCAGTGAATGGATTCAATCATTTATCAAGGAACTTTAGATATGCCGAAATTAATGCTAATTTTATATTATAGCTAATGTCCTTTAACATCGACAACTAATAAATGCTCCACCTGTTACTTACATGCTTTTAATATTGCTCATTATTGTGATGGGAAAGATATAGCGTTGGATGAAGAGTTGCTTCTTTATCAGAATTAATTACTGTGCGCAAGGATGCAACAATACTGAGGCACTTTACAGTTACTTATGGTGACGACTACCTATAAACTATCCAAGTAGCTTAATGATTATTTATAATAATTGGTTCTTTGAAAGATTTTGTGACTTTGAGAGTCGTATACTAAAACTCGATTGGTACAGACGAATGATTATCCATTATCAATATATGCTTAATGTGATGTCGTTGAAATATAAAAACGACAAAAAATTTGGCCTTTTAAATTTGATGCCTATTAGAGTAAGTAGTGCTTGCTCAATGCAAGGTACGAAATAAACTCTAAATGCGAGAAAATTAAAATTATTACAAGTTAAATATATAAACAAAAGTGAGATGAAAAAATAATTAAATGGCGTTTGTTAGTGTGGTTGATGTGCTATATTTTATTATGTTTACATTTTACGTTTTGGGAATTAATTGTTTGTTCCATTTATAATCGAAATCCTTGCGATTAGCGTCTATCATCAATTGACAGGTGATCAAGGGTTTCCGCTATGGGTGTGACTGGTTTGCTGCCATTCTTAAAAAAATGCAGCCGTCAAGTTAATATTAAGGAGTTTGAGGGCTATACAGTTGCAGTTGATGCTTATTGTTGGATACATCGGGCTTCTTATTCATGTGCAATGGATCTTGCCCTTGGAAATCCTACTACGCAGTAATGTTATGAGTTTATGATATTCTTAGATATATAACCTACTGTATGAAATATTTAAAAATGATCATTGAAGCCGGTATCAGGCCAATTCTTGTTTTTGACGGTGCAAACTTGCCTGCGAAAGCCGAAACGGATTCAAAACGTCAAAAGTTTGTTTGGAATATATACCTTGTTTACTAAATTAAGATCTAAGAAAACATACAAAGAGAAAGCAGCTCAGTATCTTCTTGAAGGTAATCGAAGAGCAGCTAATGAGTGCTTTGAGAGATGTGTCGAAGTCACTCAAAACATGGCATCAAATGTGATTAAGGTATTCGTTTCTGATTTTTTTCATTATTTGGCATTCATTAGGCTGCTCGTGAGCTCGGCGTCGATTGCATTGTTGCTCCTTACGAATCAGATGCACAACTGGCCTACCTTGTTCAGGCTGGTTATGCAGATCTCGTAATAACAGAAGACTCCGATCTTCTTCTATTCGGTTGCAAACAGGTTCTTTTTAAGTTGGATATGTCAGGAAATGGTTGCTTAATTACTTGGAGTGCAGGAATCGGTGAACAGTGCTGTGGAATACCGTCTCAGGATTTTACTCCCGCTCATTTGCGTTTCTTGGGGATTCTTTCCGGTTGTGATTATTTTCCAGGTATTCCAAGAATCGGTCTCACCACTGCAGCAAAGGTAAACTAACTCAGTTAGTGAATAGTTAGTTTACTATTTAGATACTGCGTCAATGTCGAACAGCCGATTTTCGATATCTCCTGTCAAATATGGGAAGCTTCTGTAATCTTGCTGATGCTGCATGTCTTCCTATAGGTTATCTTCAAGGAGAATTACTTTCCCAATGCTCAGGTGATCAGATCTCTTTATCTCCTTCATCTTCACTCTCTACAGAGAGTTCTACACCAACTGGTTCGCTGGTGCGAAAGATGTCTTCAGCGAGTCGTCAGAAATCGTTAAGTGGAAACAAACTTCACGAAGATACTATTCGGGCTGCAATGCGTGCTGAACGCACCTTCCGCTTGCAGGTCGTTTTCGATCCAAAATCGCGTAAGCGAATTCGCCTTTCTGAACCTACAATGGAGGATATAAATGAAGAGCGTCTTATTCGTGCAGATGCAGATCAATCGGAGAGTGATTTGTTTATCTACGCTGGAGAGTAAGCTAGAATTATGTCTTAACCCATTCTCTTAGTGAAACTCTTGAGGCAGATTTGGCTTTCGCTATTGCTATTGGGAATGCCGATTTTGATACTGGTAGCACCATTGACTGCTTCAATCCTGATGAATTCAAAGTGAAGAAACTATTCTACGGTTTGAGAGTTTGTTCGGAACCAAATTTGAATTTGTCTCCTTGTTCTGTGGGCTCAGTACTTAGAAGAGTCAGACGACCTGATGGCGAACGTTTGAATATGAGTATTTGGAATGACTCATATAAATTAGAACCAGGTGAAATTTTACATTTAGCTTTGTTCATCTTCATTGGACCGATAGATGCATAACTGCTATCTTTTAAATGAGTATTCTTCATGAATGATTTATACAATTGTTTTGAAGCTATAGTTAAAGGCGGTTATAAAGTCTTTTTGTGCATGTCAGTGTTTGGAGAAGATATTCTGGTCGTGCTTCAATTTCTTTCAGTTCCAGTAAAGTATTCAGCGTCTCCGGTGCTTTGTTCTTTTATTTCCAAAATTGTATGTGTCGACATTATTTCTCTTCACGAACCCTCCTCCCCCCAAACCGAAACTTTCGATATATTTCTTAAGAAAGAGAAATTAACTTAATTGGATAATTTACCTGCAATGAGATCTTATCAAAGGTGTTTTTTCGATTTACTTTAATTTCTTATCCCTTCCCTCGAAATTGGTTTTTCATTCTTGTTGAAAATTGTCCGATTCCCTTTAACCAATTATCTGGCTGTTTCTGTTCATTATGGCTCAGAAATAGTAGTTTTAAGTTGAACGATTTTAAGAAATCGCAACAGAAGGAAGGACGGAATTAAGTGATGATTTGCTTTTAGTTTACTCTTCAAACATTTATGTGCAATGGAGCTTGGTAGGTAATTCAGCCGTTGTATTCTTCAGAGCCTAATGAAAAATTTGTTCCAGGCGTTTTTATCATTAAGGCATCATCTAGTAGCCTTTAAGGGCATTTATGAGAGCTGAAAATTGATTACTTACAATTACTCACTCCTGGTAACCAGTTCTTTGTTGGATATTTGTGCTCATCTTTCGCTTTTTATTCTAGTTTGGCTCTATTACACGGATAATGGTCTCCAATCTCGTCCATTTTGCATTTCAATTGAAGACGTCAGCGGTGAAAAACTAAGTGATTCTCAGCGTCTCGTTCTGTTAAAATCAAAAGACGGCCGTGGAAAGCCTACCACCACTCTCCCGCCTCCCCCTTCCTTTCCTGCTTCTCGACCTCGTCTTTCATCTAATTCAACTGCTTTGAGTCGAAGCCGTCGAATGACGGTGTCGACTGTTCTCACAGCTGAACCTTCTGTCATTTTGGCTAGTCGTAAAAGGCCCCTGGAAGATAATGTCGCTCTCTATACATCCAATGTTGAAGGTGAGTGAGTATTTATTGTCCTTCCCATAAAATGTGGATGCTATCTGTTTACTCTCTTAGCAGTGTAAGACAACTTCGAGTTTTCTCTTACTCTTAATAATTTTATTGGATAAATACCGGAGGTGAGGGATGGCCAAAGATAGGTAATTTTACCATAACTCGAAGCCACTACTAAATTAGTACCCGTCGTTGTAACCTGACAAATCATGTATTCGGATGAGGTCATTATTTCTGGTAATTTCCTCCCTCCTCATTTTTATCTGCGAAGCGCCAATCCAGTCTTTCGGTGTTTGTTTTACCACAAGTACCTAATACTCATGTCTCTTCCGATCACAATCGAACTGTTTTCCCATGTTTTATATCTCGATCTATGAATGAGTTTAGCTTCAATGACTAATTTCTAGCTTTTGCCACCTAAGTGGAAGATATCTCTAAGATAATTTTTAGTCGTGTTCTCCTTTCGGTAAATGAATGACCATCTCATTGCCAACGTACTTATGCCGTGTGCAATTTCCTTGGAGTATACATATTACGATTTTCTGCGTGTCAATGAGTTAACCAGTCCTAACCTACAAGCTATGTAAATGAACTTTTTTGTTTTCAGTTTAGTTTTAAATATTAAATTGAAGTTAATGATTATCTCATTCGATCAAGTCTTTGAATTGTCAATTAGAACTTTCCAAATATTTAGTCTCAGAATAAGGTTATTCAGATAATAGAATAAAAAGAACAGACAATGGCTGCAGTTAAGTGTTTATTGGGGTAAAAGGGTTTGCGGAAAATTTGGAAAGCTACCTTGAACATTTTTGATAAATAATTTTAGATGTAGTTGCTTCTTACATCTCTGAGGGGGAGGTTCTATCTTCATCTCCAAAGACACCAATGCGAGATTTTGCAACTAGCGAAACCCCTATTATATCTGCTGGAGCTTACTTCGCCACCCCTGTCTCAGCAATACTACAACCTAGTGCTAATGCAGGACGCAAAGGCGAGGCGTTGGAATGCAAACGACCTCGTTCTATTTTCGAGGCAGATTTGAGCGGATCAGCTACGTGCAAAAAAGTTAATGCATTCACTGCTTCTACTCGAAAGGAGAAGATACCGCCACTGTCTGAACATAGACCGAATTTCTCCACGGGTCAAGTGTAAGTTGTACCTATTACATTCAAATAAAGTGTTGATATGAATTAGTTTCCTGTTGAAATGGTGATTAAGGATTGTAATTAAGAGATGAGTTGGATTTTAAATTTCTATTTATTAATTGTAAGTTTTTTGATACCTAACTCCGTATCTAGAAGGTTAACTTGCTGAGGTATTAGTATAATTTCTGATTTACGTCAAGGATGAAATCTGGTGTAGTAAGTTTGTACTGTTTTAAGGGTACCCCAATATTAATCAACTAACCAATGAACTTATGTGGTTATGCGTCAGACCGTACCACGCTACCAAAACCCAGTAGTATGTACTCTGTGACCCGAATGCAGGACAGAATAAGGATGTCTTATCAATTCGAGATACCTCTGATATATTTATATCAAATGGCAGTCTTTATGATAGTTATCATTAGCCCCTTAGTTGACTTCAGGCTTCACAGAGGGGAGGAACATCAAAGTGAGAAAAATTCGAGAGGGGGAACCAGAGGGGAGGAACATCAAAGTGAGAAAAATTCGAGAGGGTGAGCAGAAGAGAGATTCAAAAGAGATAGACAGACAAAAAGGCAGGGGAAAAAGAGAGATGAGTACTGTGGAAGTGGTAGAATATGGCATACAGTGGGGCCATTGTAGGTTGAGGTCAGAAGTCAACTGCCAGTATACAGACCTTTTAGCCGTATAAGTATGCGTTGACCAGGGTGCACCACATGGAGGTAAGTCTATCGCACACCCGAGATATGAGGTGTGGTACATTGCGGGCCTTTATTGCTGGAGACTTGAGCGTTTAGCCACCATTGTGAGAGGGAGAGCTGATTTTCCTATTTTAGAAATCGCTTATTCTAAGGATAACAGGGATGTACGTTTACGCCTGACAGTTGCAGTATCCGATATTTTTAGGCTAATGAAAGCAGCTATTTGCTAAATGACGCAGAAATTGTATCAAGATTACATTGAAAGCTTGGCAAAATTCGACTGGGCTATATCGGAGGCTATTGTGAGAGAGGACTTGGGTGTGCCGATTTCGATGTTGGTAGGCAAGATTGCTTATTGCCCTGAAAAGTTCGATATTGTGTTGGAAATCATTCTCCTGGTAAGTACTGCAAAGTTTTATAAGCCCGGTTTCGCCTAGCTGGAAAATGGGAAGCCGACTATTCCTATTTTCAGGAGAAATAACGACCCCCTCTTACAGCCCGAGCTGGTTAAACTAATTGTTATTGACGCTCCCCACCAATTTTGATAGTTTGAATATTTTACCTTGTTTAGCAAGGGATCGAATGTGATTTTAGACATCTGAATCATAGCTAATATAATTCCAACCTTCCCACATTAGGAACAAAACGGGAGCATCTCCATTAAGTCAGCGTTTCTCCTTCCCCTCTCTGAAAGCTTCAAGATACTCAAATAAATCCACAAGCGAAGACAGTTCAAGACAACAAACACAAGTCAATGACTGCATTGAATACAAGCGCCCCACCTCACCCGTCTTTGATGAGAGCAACCTCGAACCTGTGATTAAAAGCTCAAGTCCATTACGGAACAAAGCCAAGGCGGGATCAACTTTATCCTCCTTTTTCAGCAAATACCAATTCAATCCACCTTCCAAAAGGCACTCCACTCTCTAAACTTTCCGATGTTTAAATTATACCCTGCTTTTAAATATTTTTGTATAGATTCTATTTATTTTTTTCAACACACGTCCATCTTAAACGAAATTGCACGTGCTGTAAAAATTTAGGCCATCTTAAATACTAAATACACGTAAGTACACGAAGTTTAATATCAAGTAGTCAGTCCATTCTATCGAGATAGGAGATCGGCAACGTAGTTGTCACGTTCAATCGCATAACCGCGGGCCTTCTCGAACTCTAGGACGGGGTTACGCATGTTGAATAAATAATCCTTTACCTTTCAAGGCCTTGTTTGGCGACCATCCAAGGACATCAATTAAATATCGGCAAATTAAATAGCCCGTTCGATTAATTCCATGCGTGCAGTGGACAGCAATAAGACCATCTGTTTCGATTACTTAGAAGGTGAAAGGTTAAAACATACCGGGGGACTGTTCAGAAAGAATCTTCACTTGTTTGATAAATTGGTTCACTGCATATTCACTTGGTACTACATGTCCTTCAATGAAGATTTTCTCGTGATGCACATCGCGATCGGTATAAAGCTAGACGTGATGCAAATGATACTAGTACCCGAGACTTACCCTTGTGTCGTAGTAAGTTGTAAAAGTGAGATCGATAATCGCCTTTAGTGGACGGTTTTGATCAAGGCAGTGATTGAGAAGATCATTATCAGTGAACCAGTAGTTCCTTGGGATGTTCTGTGACATCTCCTTGGGAATCGGGAGCTTGATAGGTAAAAGGGGAGTTCCTTCTATAGGTAATCCAAAGGGAGCATAATCCAACCACCTGATAAACAAGATTAGAAGAGCATTACTAAAACATCATAAATCGAAATAACTAATTAAAAAATATACATTCCTTGTAGGAGGATATTTCGGCATAATTAAGCGACTTGACAAATTGATATACACAAAAACAAAGGTACTTCAATACGCTACTTAGATAATGAAAAAGCTAAAAGCGCATTTGCACGCCCTAAATTGACGGAGCAGGCTAGGATGGAAATATACTAGAAAGAAAAGCGGCTTTATTGGTTAGATCGATCACCTGTCTTGATTTACTAAATGATGAAATATATTTGAGAAATATTCAAAGATTTAAATTTTTAAAATACATACTCAAGGAATTTTATTTTGTCTTTCAACGAAAATAATGCATAATATTATTACCGGGTAGTTTTCACAATCATAATTTGGAAGTCTATTCTTGACGAATAAAGAGATTTAGACAAACAGGACGATTTATTTATATTATGTAACTTTTTCTGCGAGCTATTTCACTATTTTAGCACCACGGTTTTTAAGTCAGATATCGATATTTCAATGTCAAATTACATAACGGGCTTTTAAATTACATGACTGGCACTTCGGATTAAGTATCTAGCGTATTGCTGAAATAATAAGTCTCACTAATTCACAGCGATCTCGAGAGCATAAAATCCTAATTTGGAATAGTTTTCTGTATTAGCGAAGCTACCTTAAAGCGATAGTGATGCAGACGAATGAAACGGAATACGTTTATTTGGGCTTTGTATATACTGAGTGGTATGTATACCGAATAGGTATTAACGAAATGGAGCAAAATTATCAAATACTATTTGAGTAAGATGACGCCGTAATGACTGCTGCTCATTGTTTGGTTGAGAGGTCTATGTACTCATATGGTCCATTGTGTTCGACCCATTGCTTCTACCATGTTAGTGCTGTTTCCTACAACTACAATACATGCCTGCTTAATTGTTAATTGAAAGGATTCGTTATTCCATATTTCCTCAAAATTTTTTTCTAAATCTATTATTCAATATTTTTTCAAAATGTACGTTTGGGTTAAATAATAAACAATAAATAAAGTCAACCACATCTTGCTTGAGATATCACAATATTATTGCGTAAAAGCAATATGTATGCAAATCAAACGAATGTAGGGAAAAAATGAAGAGTGCACACACGTATTTGATGCCGAAAAATTCGGTTTCAATCAAATTGAGTTGTTGTGGAAATGCTTAAAAGAAGCGAACTGAGGACAGAAGTTCTGCTTGCTTAAACATTGACTGTTTAATATATATATATATATATATATATATATATAATTAAATGAGACGTTGGCTTCCAAGTACATGCAACTAAATATCATTCACCCACTAGACCATGAAATCAAAATTGCACAAAATTCTGGAGTGCCAGTTGTCAATTTATGGTAATTTCAAACAAGTTATTTTTAAATTCATTCAATAAATTCAAAATTTACTTGAAAATGAACCTCGAAAAGACGTTGAATTATGGAAGATTATTTGATTGGCTTCTGCCGATATAGAAATATTCAAAATGATTCTATTTAATGATATTTATAAATTTCTAAATTTATTATGAGATTTTATCTTTTCAAAATTATAAACTGTAAGTACGCATGCTTTGCTATTTCTTTATTTACAATTGGCCTAAATTATTGAAAAAGATCAAATTATTGTATTATTGTATAAATTTTAATAAGACAAATGATTTAATGTATATTAGGTCCTTTTCTATAATAGTTAATTTGTTCTTCTACTAATCTATCACGAACCAATGGTAATGCAATGACATCATATAAACGTTGATATATTTGGTTATCGTCAACACTTTAGGGGTGACGTCGATTATGATAGGCCCCGGTCGAGTGGTTTTGACTGCCATCCTATTACTTTCACTATATTTCATCTCAATTTTAAGTCAACCTCAGTGTGAAATCACTGTTAGTTTATTCTTGGGAGATTTGATGAATAAACAATTTTCAGAAATAATATTAATGCCAGTCTTCATTGATTTTTCATTAAGATTTCTGGATCAATTGGTGACTCAAATGCTACCGTAGAAGAAATTCTGGATTTAAATGGAGTCGTTTTAGGCAAATTAGAGGATATCATTAAGCGTGATTATTTTAGAATCTTCAAGGTGAATTTTACTGACCATCTTAGATCTGTATTTATCTTCGTCCATCTAAATTTTATAATATTATTTCTCATTTTTTGGAACACTCTTTAGGTAAACCTTTACCGTAAATGCAATTTCTGGCCAGATGATGGACGCTGCGTTTTGAGGGATTGTCAGGTTCAGGATTGCTCGATTAGCGAGGTTCCGGTTGGAATTCGTGAATCTAGCTATGATAAAATTATTCCTGCTAAGGCTGTGGTAGGTATTTTAATATTCCCGTTTTCTTTAATTTCTCGGGAAGTTATTAATCATCGATTTTTGATGGTCAGCGAATGGGCAGCGATGGTGAATCATGCTCGAAGGAAGAGGAAGAGGAAGTCACACTTGGTCATTTGGACACATCAATTGAGTAAGTCTCCCTTATATTAGAAATTACCGCATCCCTTATTTAGCACTGTATATTTCTTTCTACTCATAGCGAAATTCAGCAGAAGACCATTCATAAGTGGTCTCAACAGGATACGGAGGATAAGCCTTTCTGTGAATTGGGTGGTAAGTATTCCACGTTGGATCTTAAATTCCTTTAATTTAATTAGCTCATTTTTGATATTACAGTCCACAAATTTTGTCTTGTCTTTCTATTAAGCGGTGTTAATTTAAAGCAAATTCTTGAAATTTAGGTTGATGCAGAGGATTGTTTAACTTTTATTTTCTTGGTCAAAGGGGTCGTATAAATTTTTGTGCAATAAATAGGGACGCATTTTTTTGTTTAAATACTAGCATTGGATGTTTCCTTTGCCTCTAAAAATTTTCAGTCGAATTCGTCGTTTTTTGGTCGTCATTTATTCTCTCTAAACGCTGGCTATGTTTCGTTCTTTAGACGACTTTGACGAGTCTTCAATCTACGTCGATCTTCTGAAAAATATTGAGAAGTATACGGGCTACAAGGGGGAATCTTCTCAACGAGTTTGGGGTTCAATATACTGGGAAAATTGCTTTAAGTATGCATCTTCATCCCTACCATTAAACACCTTCCTTATACAAATTCATTAAATCAGAATTTTTTGCCTTTTTTTCTAGGTCTGCACCCCCAAAAGTTTATGATGGTATTCCCTATTCACCAGGTGGGTTATTGGTCGTTTCTCAGTCATTTTTATCCTTCGATTTTGAACTTTAGTGCTTTTTCTCTTTTTTTAGTCGATACGGCGACGTGCAAAGAAAAGCGCCTTTTCTATCGCATGATTTCCGGTCTGCAAACGAGCATTAGCCTTCAACTCTGCTTTAACCACCTTTTATCTGGTAAGCCATGTAACGTGCGAATGATTTTATTAGTGTAAATATCATTCACAAGGTTTTTCTTATGGTTTCTTGAGCTATTTACTGGTCTGAAAATTATGGCTCTGTCGTGTAAATCATGAGTTTACGTACATGATTTGTCATTACCGGTTATTTAAGCACATGAGGTCACATAATAAGTGGGCAAGGGTAGATTTTCCAATCTGTTCTAATCCGAACTTTTGGGAATTTTGTTTATCACTTCTGTTAGTAGATGACACATTGATTACCTTTCGCATCTCCCATGTTGGTGGCCATGTGTTCGACTCCTATCGGCTTGCACCCAGCTAGCGAAATAGCCAATCGTAGTACAACGTCATTCTTGGTTTTCCATATTAGCTTCATAATGTTACTTTCTATATCCATATTTATGAAAAGCTACCAGTAGTATCCGATATGTGATCTCAATTTGATTTCTGTCATCAAGCATAAATTAGTCACAGTCAAATTGTCAATCTGTCTATAAAGTTGTAGGTGATTGCCCTTTTGGTGTGATTCTGGGGATCTTATGTAAACATTACGATAGTTGGGTTTTTCCTAATCAAAACCCTGAGATTTCACTGAACTTGATCATATGATAACCATAGCTGTCAAGCTGGGTTTATTTAATTGCGTAGTTGTTACGTCAACACAATTTCCATGCTATTATTGAAAGTGTAAAGTATAGTTCAAAACCGTTATAATTTGTGCGGGTTCCTACAATTTTCTTTTTGTTAGAAAGCATTTGTTTCTGTGAATTTATCGAGGTCTCCTATTTTTTTTCAACTTCGGGTCAAGTAATCCTAAGTAGAACATAGACACCTAGGGCAATAGCTGCTTATCCGTCAAAAGCGAAACTCAATCGGAACAAGCGGATATCAACTAGAAGTAGTGCTCAGTAAAAACTATTCGTTTTTTGTAATTAAAAGAGTTCTTTAATTGAATGGAAAATCAGTTATTGTTAGTTGTGGTACCTGAGCTTTATGACTCAGGCCTATGCAGTCTATGTATTGTGCGCCTCCTGACATACACTTACTCTAGTTCACAGTTTGTTACCTGGTTCTGGTGATGTGATTGTAAGTAATCTGGTTTACCGATTTCTATTCTGATGCACAAATAGGCTTTCCACTATAGTACAACCCCTCTTCAGTAATTGCGCTATCACGTTAGTATTCCAAACTCGAGCCAAACTTTATTGTAGCTCGTATTTTGCGTCAAATTTGTTTGTTTTAGCACAAATTAAATCTAACTTGACGTGTTTGCGTTGGCATCCTTTTAATGGTATTGAAGCCAACTATTGTCGCACTCACTCTTATTAACTTTGAATGAATTATCTAAAATATGTCGTTAATCGCAAGCTCTACATGTCAACTTGCTTCCAAGGCAATATCAATAGTTAAGTCCAGTATAATCGTTCATTGTTTAGTTTGTGTATCTCTTTAGGAACAGTTTTTGTGTCAGTGGCCTCTAGCTTTCTTTTAAACTACCCCCACCCCTTGCCAATGATCGTTTTTGCTTCTTATAGCTGTTGAAATTCTCTCTGGAAGTTTGAACAGCCTATTATGAGAAACGCTTGTCGATCTTATGTTGGTGGATGTTGAAGACCTCTCCTAGCTTGTTTTTACCTTATGTCAATCATCTGGGTAATTAGAATTGACTTAGTTATGAAAACGCTAAACCGGGTTTGTTACGGTTAATACGCTCATCTGCGAAGTCATGCGGCACAGGTTCGATGCGGAATGACCAACCATACTAGTCAGCCTGCCTCCGTGATGCTATTGCTCCTACCAAGATGGATGTGGAAAGACACTTTCCTAGGCAGAAATTATCATTAACGGAAGCAACTTACGGATAATTTGAAACAGGGTGGTCTGTTAACTTAACTCTTGTAATATTGTAGACTTCCGTGGAGCCAAGACCTTCTTCGCACAGCCCACTGAACACACCTGGGGCCCGAGTGTGGAGGAATTTGCACGTCGCTTCCATCCTAGCCTGGTCCCAGAGGCCCTGGGTCGGTTGCGCAATCTCTTCCTTGTCTATGTGGTGGAAATGCGTGCTATTGCTAAAATAGCACCTCTCCTTAGGCAACAGGCCTTCTACACAGGTGATACTGCTGTGGATGCTCAAACTCGAAGCATGGTTCTTGACCTTCTTAACGATATTGAGTAAGTCCATCTTATGGTAATTTTCTTAACCATAGGTCCCATTTCTGTTAAGGTTTTTGGAATAAAATGACTCGCCTATACGTATAGTATATTTTATCACCATCGAATGAGTCTGCTATCGAAAAGTCCAGAATGTTTAAAAACCTTGACGTTTCACCATGTCGAGGCATTTCAATCCAAGTGCATATTGGTCGAGCTTGGGTTTTGATAGGCACTCGATTTATCAGAATTAAGTAATTAGTGCAAGTTAGCTTCTACTTCATTGAGTGCGTTATAAGCGAGATTGGTTCGAAGTGTTGTTTTTTTTGTAGCGAAGGCGCAGTGTACAATCGTTGAAACTTGGCTCTCATAATTGAGACAGAAGGGAAAGACAGTAGTAGAATATTAAGAGAGAGAGGGAGAAAAAGTGATAGAATGCTTAAAGATGGAGAAATGTGAGGCGTGAAATAGGTAGAAAATCAGGTTAAATCGACAAGCGAATCGAGATCCTAGTTGAAGGAAGATTGGGTTTAATTAGAAGGACAATGACTTTATATTCCCCACTTCTTAATTAAGCATTGTCGTTTCTTCTTTATTTCACCTTTTAGAAAACACGCGACTGTGTTCAACGAATCCCAACTTTTCCAAGCATCGAACCAAGAACTTCTTGATCTCAAAGAAGAATTCCGTCTACGATTCTTGAATATCACTCGAATTATGGACTGTGTTGGCTGTGATAAATGCCGAATGTGGGGCAAATTACAGGTTAGCGGTTTGACCAAAAAATAGCTACAGCCATTTTAACCATCTGCCTAAGGGGGGTGTTGGAAATGATTAAAATGCCATAGTGCACGGCTGACGCAATGGCTAGCATGTTCGCCTTCTTGATCAGAGTGCACAATTGACACGCATTCACTTAAGCGGACGTCAAACCGCGTTAGTTAACTCTCAACAACGATAATCAATCTAAATCGATTTAGAACGACTTCTTTATGGCCGCTTTAACTCTTTTTGACAATTTTCTTAAATTTTAAAGTCCTAAAATGAAAATTTTAAGTCTTTTGGAATTGCTGAAATGACTTCCTTGTTAGTATTCTCTAGTTGTACTTGGTCAGTTTGAAAACTCTTGTTTTCTTCACAATGCTCGGTTGGCCATTGACTACTTCGATTGCCATGTTGAAACCGAATTGTTCAGATCGTATTTTTTCAATGAATTCTGAAGCATTTGCCATGGTAGTTGGCAAGAGGTATTATAAAGCACACGTTAAACTCATTATTTGTGGCTATCCTCAGAATCGAGTCAGATAAATATCAAAGTTTTAAATAGGGTAGCCGATTAGTGTATGGTTCCAAAAGATTTGAATTTTCCGCTTCTATGCTGTTTCAGTATCAAACTGCATAGTATGAAATCTAGAACGATCACACATCCAATTCCACGCTTTTAATGATCGAAATTTTGACTCAAACAAGGTGGAGCGCCAATGAAATATTGCATTTGCTTAAAATTATTAAGTATTTCCCTTGACGAACACAATATTTCGCGTTTCATTCCCACTATTATTGAAAATGATGCCTATATGTCAAATTTTTATACGAAATAATGCCAAGTACATTAGACTGTTAGGCTGAAATAAGCTTAAATGGATCTTTCATGAGAAGCTGTTCGTTACGCTATTGTAAAGACTGGCGATTATGCTAAACTTCTTAGTTCTATTTTGATATACAAAGTATCGTAAAGGGCCGACGAAGTCTGTCAAAATTACGTCCCAGTGAGCAACTAATCCCACTTCTATCGAATGTTCTTTTTACCAGATACAGGGTATGGGCACGGCTTTGAAAATTCTCTTCTCCGATGGTCTTTTTGACGTTGCTGAAGATGGTAGCGTTAAACTTCGACCTAGTGCTCAACTCAAACGATCTGAGATTGTATCTCTCTTCAACGGCTTTAACAAGTAAATCCCCCCCCCCCCATAATTTATCTTGTTCGCTCAAAGCTTTATGAAGAGGATGTTGTTCTCATCCCCATTTCTTTTCACTTTTAGATTTGCAAAGAGTGTCGATTACTATGTGAAGCTAAGAGCAATGTTTATCGATCAGTTGAAGTGAGCTGGCTGTCCAATTTCTCTCAATTCCCCCGCCTCTTTACTTAGTAGTTGGTATTATTTGATAGCGGACATATCTCATCCCGATTTCTCCGTCTCCTAATCTTTTGATCCTTGTGTGTCTTATGTATATCTGTCTTCCTCTGTACAGCTAAACTGATGCGATTATGAAATCGGAATTTATTTGACATTCTGCTTTTTTATATTTTTGCCTCATTAATATTGGCACGGTGGAAAGATTCGATTAATTAAAGTTAGATTTTTCCCACTAAACAAAATACCAGATTTGCCAGATTGGGACGTGGTGAAAAGATAGGGAATTAGTGCCCGACAGAAGCGTTAAGTGGAGGTTAAATTAACTTTACATTCTGAACTTTTACTTAGGGCTGGTCCGTGTCAAAATCCACCAAGCGCTCAAGGTCAAGAATATAGTCAAAGGACCGAGGACTATCACGGTTAATATATATATATATATATATATATATATATATATATATATTTCAAATGGCAGGCGTTTTGAATATTTATCATTAGCCATTTAGCTGACTTCTGGTATCGCGGAGGGGGGTAAATCAAAGTGAGAAAAATTTGAGAG